CCACGCAGGAGCCAGCCGAGCAGGGCTTCTAGTCCCCCAGCATCGCCTAGAAGGCTGGATCAAGTGGACGACGCCTCATATTCCTCTGCCTCCTCACCATTTCCTCCGCATGACTCTCCAGAGCCGGCGGAACAGTCCGCTGCGCCCCGCGCCTCTGCAACTCGCAAGCGCAAACAGGTCTCATGTGCGGACGAATTCACGGCCAAGCCCCCCAAGGTGGCTTATAATTCGCGCTTACGCACCGAGCCGCGCAAAAGCGCGCTCAAGCAGCCAGCGCAGATACGCAGGGAACCTGCTGAGGCACAAAGCAGCCCGCAGGAGTCCCTCGGCCCTCCGACACCTCCAGCCTCTCCTCCCCCCAGGCACCATCGGGCTCGCAAGGCCAAGGCGCACCGCGCGGCCCATGCAGCTCAGCGCTCGCGCTCGCCTACCAAAGCGTCTGATGCAGCCTCGGACGAGCAGCCTGCGCCACAGCGCCAAGAACCAGTAGAGGCTCAAAGCAGCCCGCAGGACTCCCGCGGCCCGGCCTCGCCTCCAGCCTCTCCTCCTACAAGGCACCATAAGGCTCGCAAGTCTCACCATACTGCCCAGGTAGCTCCGCGCCTGCCGCCTACAGTCGCAGCTGCAGCTGCGTCAGCCGCAGCATCGGACGAGCAGCGCAGCTCATTTCTCAAGGAGCACGAGAATAGGATTGCCCAGCTCAGGGAGCGCCTCAGGCTGCAGTTGCGAGAAGGCGGAAGCCTCTCGCATTGCGGTCAGCGTCTTTCGCCCAGGAGGCCGCGTAAACCTCGCGAAGGAGGTGATGCTGCCAGGCGCTAGCCCTTGCCAGGCAGCTAACCCTCAGCCTAAGCCTAACCTCTCCTTCTTTCCTCTTATCAGCTCCCTTTTCCGCCTCATCCCCTTCAGGCCATGAGGAGCGAGCCCAGTATCCTGGGCAACGCCGGTGCAGACGAGGACATGCCCGCTGCTGAGGCGCACCCGGGGCAACAATTAGAGCCGCGCAGCATCTCGCCACCAGCCTCTCGTTTGGCTTCCTCATGGAAGCATTTGGCTGAGCGGCTTCTTTCGGCTCACCAGCAAGTCTACCGCTTTCTCAGCGGCGGCGCGAGGCGCCACGCACTCATTCTGTCTCCCGCCACGGTGTTCCTGCATAATGCGGTACCCCAGTGGCAAGCCACATGGCAGCTCGAGAGCGGGCCGCCCGCATGGCCACACGCGCGCGCCTTAGTGGGCCCTGTGCTTCACCTAGATTTGCCCACGGCCGTTAATCGCACACTCGAGCGCTGGCATGGGCGCTGGCGCGAGGCAAACTCCCCTTACCTACTCCACATTTACCCTCAATGTGCTGCGGGGGACGGCCCCTATGATGCACGCTTCTCGCCCACCATAGGGCTAGTTTCTGTTTACGTGCCGTACCAGCTTTTTCTGGACCTGCTCCAATCGGGGGCCTGGGAGCAGTCCTCCCTCAGCCCTCATCGTCTTTTGCAGGATGCAGCGGCTGGCAGCCCCATCCTTATAGATTTCCAGGCCATGATCATGGTTCGGCCATTCTGCCTCCCGTTGTCCCACCTCGCTCGGATCCTCCGTCTCCCCGAACCCTAATCCCTCAGGCCATGCCGACCCCAGAGGCGCAGCACCTGCCGCAGTTCGAGCGCGGCGACTTCCGCTGCGCCCCCACTGAGGCAGTGCCACCACCGCCTACAGTAGTGCAGTGGATGGTAGTAATAACGACAGGCCACATTCCGCTTTGGTCCCCATTGCCCATCAATGTAGGGCTCCTAATGGAGCAATTCCATGGGCAGGAGACCAGGCTGCCATCCACTGCGGAAAGGCCGCGCTTTTTTCACCTCCCCATTCTTCAGGAGATGGATGCACGGCCCATCCTATTTGGCACGGGCATACCCTACCGCACCGGCCTTTCGCTGCGGGTCAACATGCGTAGCGGTAACATCCTCATCCCTATAGACTCCGCACCAGGCCAAGCATGCATCAGTCGGCCCGTCAGGAGGGTCCTCCTCACACAGATGCAAGCATAGGCCAGCTAGGTTTCACTCATATTTGGCTATTGGTTTATGGGCTACTTATTTTTGTTCCCTTGGCACCCCCCCCTTCTCTCAGCGCGCCCCACGCCGCCATGGTGCCCATGCCTCCCGCGGGCGGTTCCGCAGCGGCCGCGGCGGAGGCGGGCGCGGCCGAGGCCAGCAGGGCGTCGCCCAACACGCGGGAGCTCTTCGGCCTCTCAGGAGACACGTATGCTGGTTCGGCATGGCAGGGCTCCCAATACACGGCCGCCACGCGTGAGTTCAAAAAGTGGTGGCCTTCCACATGCCCTGGCGAGTGGAAGATGCCCAACGGCATGCTCTACCCGTCAGTTTGGAAGCTCAAGTCGCTGGACGTCATCGACGGCCAGGTCGTCGAAACCTGGGACTGGGAGTGGATCGAGACCACAGGCCTGGCGACCATCTCAGAGGTGGAGGCCATGCTGAGGGACCACTACAACCAGCAGCAGGCTGCCGCGCAAGAGGCCCAGGCGCGAGCGGCGGCGACAGCGGCAGGACTCTCGGCGCTCTCGGCTGCCGCCCGCACTCTCAACCCGTCGCCCTTCGGTGCCTGAGCGAGCCACATTAGTGCTGCATCAGTCAGCGCCCTTCTAGGTCGTCCTAAGCGACCTCGGCGCAACTAGCAGCGCGCCCACTTAGGTGGTGGGCTCGCCTAATACTTTCCCTTTATTCATCTTTCCTGCGTTCTCTCCTTACCTCGGCAGCCCACCACCTAAACAGCTGGAGCCATGCCGCTCCAATTCTAGGTCGGTCGAGCCGTCCCGCATAGCCGAGTTGTAGGCCACGCGAGCCTAGCAGCATCCAGCCTATCCCGTAATAGTGCGGCTCAGCATCCTTGAGCAGCCCCGCTAACAGTGAGGCGGCTAAACGCCGCTCACACATCTCAATTCGCAGACTCGCCACGGCTGAGTCCTCACGCATAGGTGGTGGGCTAGCACATTGCTCGGATCCCGGTTTACCTGCAGCCCACCACCTATACAGCCCTAGCCATCACACGAGTCAAAATCTACCAAGGAGACGCCGCGTCTCCAATTTAAGGTCGGCCGAGCCGACATGCAGTCCGCTGCAGTGGGTCCTTCAGGTACACACTCTCACTGCAACTCTTGCGGCGCCAGTCGGCACCATCTCCGGTCAACATGGGATGGGCGCCCATGGTGCAACCGCCAATGCGCCACACAGGGGCGGAGCCAGCTTAATACTTAACTGGCAGCCCACCTAGTCACTTTTTTTCCACCGGCCCCCCCTTGAGGGCCTGTGCAAGAGTAGTTGCCATTCATGGGCGCGGCTTCTCACTTTGCCGCACGAGTGCGGCCAATGCGGCACATTTTAGCAGCCTCGCTAAACAGCGATCGGCTAAGCTCACACAGCAATTCGCAGACTCGCCACGGCTGAGTCTCCTAGGTGGTGAGCTGGCCTAATACTCTTGGTTCGCCTTGGCAGCTCACTACCTAGACAGCCCTAGCCACAAGTGCCTCGTGAGAGGACCGTGGCACTTTGCCCCGGCTTGTCTCTTTGGCCCTCGTCCAGGTGTAGCAGGGTCCCCTTGGTCCCTGTGTGCCTGTGAGGGGCCACGCGGAGGTGGGTCTCTGCTGTCTGGTCTCGGCTAGCGCCCAGGCACACCCACCTCCCCGCCGCGGCCGGCCCGTGCAGGCCTTCCAGCTGCAGCGTCCGCCCTGCAGCACGGCAATGCCATTCTGGCCCTCCTTCTTCCCTCTCTCTATCTCCAGCTCCTTCTCTCTCCGCACGGTCTACTTAAGTTGGGTAGGCATTCCCAGGCCAGACACTTCTTTTCTAGCCCTGCACTGCTCTCTGCCTCGAGGGCTGCCCTGCTCTGGGCAACGAAGCAGGGCCCCGCTGATGTCTCTCTTCGCACGGCGCTGCAAACTCCTCCTCTCTCGTATATGTTCCCTCTACTCCCCTCCCGCAGCGCCAATACCTCTCTCCCGACAGTTTTCGGGACGAGAGCGGAAGCAGCTCTGCGTCCATGCTCTCGGGCTTCTCGTGTGCAGCCTGTGCCAGTCCTGTTGGCCGCTGCGCTCAAGCTAACTTGCAACGAGCCTAGTTCAGTCAAAGGCCTCCTCCTCCTCCTCCCTACTCCTCCTCCTCCTCCTTTTCCTCCTCCTCCTCCTCCTCCTCCTCCTCCTCCTCTTCCTCCTCCTCCCTCCCCCCCCCCCCGCAGAATCCTACAGCATGGGGTGCGGCGGCGGCGGAAGTTCTCTGGCCCACACCTGCGGTATCTTCAGATATCTGTGTGCTCTACCGTGTAAAACTTACTCCGCACTTCCTCTTTCCATACGGCAGAACTTACTGAGCCGTGAGGGGTGAACTCACTCGCCCCTGCTGCAGAAGTGTTTGACGTAACTTACTTCGCGTCATCTGAGACTCATTGCGCGCAGTTTTCTCACGATGGCGAGCCGCTTCTGCGCTCCGGAACGCTTCGCCTTGACGCAACGTCTCCTGAGGATGGGCTCGCGCCGCACACGTCGATTCGCATGCGCACCGCGGCCGAATGGTCACAACATGCAGGAGCGGGCGAGTGTGGAGCAGGTCGGCTTCGGACGGGGCTCTCTGCTCTTCAGGTCCTTCCATGGGTGTTCCCCTGGCGCTCCAGGTGCGCCCAGGCGCTTCATCTGCGACCAATGAAGGTTCCGCTCCTTATCCAGCTATCCTCTGGTAGCAGCTCGACTGTATCTGCCTGCCCTGCATGATCCAAGGGGGCGACGCCAGAAAAACGGGCTAGATTGTGCCGACATTCGCGCGCACGCTGCCCGCGTAAGGTCGCGCGTAGCGCCCTGGTTTCCAATGTAGCTTTTCGCGTTTACGACCTGCAGAAGCCACCGCTTAAGGGCGCTATAGCATCTCGCGTAAGATTTGCTTTCGTCGCTCAAGTGAGTCCACCCCCATGGCGCACAGCCGTGCCCCGCCCTTCTCTGAGCGAAGGACTACTTCGGGCCGGAAGGCCTCGGCTACGTCCTCGGCCGGGTGCACATAAACAGCTGCGACTTCTCTCGGGACAACTACGCGTTCCACGACAAGGATTTCGACCAATAATAGATTGCGTAAACATAACGTCGAGATGTTGAAGTCAGAACCGCTTTGGGCTCAGAAGGGGGCGGGTTAAAAAAAAACCCGTCCCCTGGAATGTGTCACCTGTTTGTGGCCTAGGCCCGCCGTGTCCAGACAAGCCCCTCCGTTCGTTATTATGCGCTACGCGCTCTCTATCGCAGCACGATGCTGTAAGGCTTCAGTGTGGCGCCTCCCTTGGCGCGCTCCGCGCACCAGGAAATGGGTTGCGCGCCTGCCTCCGAAAAAGTATGTGCATGATCTTGTTCTGCCTCTAGGACGGCGACTTCGACCTCAAGCACTTTGACGAGGATGTTCGGCGCGATGCGGAGGCGCTGATACCCTTCATCAAGGCCGCTCAGGACGTGATCACGTCACGGGGCCGCTCACTCAAATTGCTCGCCACACCGTGGAGCCCGCCCGCGTGGATGAAGGAGAACCAGCTCATGGACCACTCCAGCCGCCCTTGCCTGCGACAGGAGACCGATGTCCACTCTGCCTGGGCGAAGTATTTTGTCAAGTGGATCGCCGCCTATCAGCAGCACGGGGTGCCGATCTGGGCCGTGACTGTGCAGAATGAGCCTGAAAACAACGCGACGTGGGAGGCGTGCCTCTTCACACCCGGAGAGGAGGCCGACTTCTTGGGCAAGTATTTAGGCCCCGCCCTGAGTTCTGAGCATTCGAACGTCTCGATCTTTGTTTACGACCATAACAAAGACAACGTCGCGCATTGGGCGAAGATCATCCGGGAACACAAAGATGCGGCCAAGTATGCCGACGGCATCGCGTTCCACTGGTATTCTGGCGATGGGTTCGAGGACGTCGCTTCCATCCACGCCGCGATGCCCCAGCTTCAGCTCCTGGCGAGCGAAGCGACCTACGAGCGCTGGCGCTGGAAGGAGGGCGCCACGCTGGAGACTGGGGAGTGGAGCTTCGGTGAGGGGTACGCCCACGACATCATAGGTGATCTCAACGCTGGGAGCATTGGCTGGATAGACTGGAATCTGCTTCTCGACGAAAAAGGTGGCCCTAACCACGTCGACAACGTGTGCGACGCGGCGATGATGGCCAACCTGTCGAAAGGGGACGTCTACCGCCACCCGCAGTATTATTTCATGGGCCACTTCTCTAAATTCATACTCCCAGACTCGGTGCGGCTGGTGACGACAGTGGGGCCAACTCTCAGCTACCGCGGGAACGACCGGGAGTATGGCTCGTGTACCGGCGACGACGGATTGCAGGCTACGTCCTTCCTCCGCCCTGACGGCCTCGTCTCCACCGTGGTGCTCAACTGTGGCGACGACGCTGTCGAGTTCAAGCTCCTCCATGGTGAGCGTGCGGCACTGACATCTGTGCCTCCGCATTCCATCCAGACGTACGTATTCGAGGACGACCGTCTCGCCTCTCCCTTCCGCGCAGGCAACGCCACGCCATTCGTCGGCGTCAATCTCGGCGGCTGGCTGCTGGCGGAGGACTGGATGTGGGCTTCCGAGATGTTCTCGCAGGGCATCGAGGACGAGTACACTCTCGTCCAGAAGCACGGGGGGCCAGAGGACCCCCGCGCGGTTTCCTTGATGCAGGCGCACTGGGAGACGTTCCTCACGGAAGGGGACCTGGATCGGCTCCAGGAGTGGGGCGTCAGCCATGTTCGCGTGCCGCTCGGCTGGTGGACGGTGGACTACGACGTCGGCGACGGGTTCGTGGACGGCAGCAAGCGCTATCTGCGCAGGCTCATTGCTTGGCTGCAGAGGCGCGGGATGAGGGCGCTCCTGGACCTGCACGCGCTGCCGGGGGCGCAGACTGCGTATCAGAGCTTCACCGGCAGGAAGCGGGAGCGGCCACACTTTTTCACGGACCCGGGGGAGTACGAGCGGGGGAAGCGTGCGATGCTGCGGCTGGCCGAGCTCATCCTGGAGCTCGAGGCTGGCCCTGCGACGGCGGGCGTGGTGCTCGGGATGGAGCTCGTGAACGAGCCCGACTGGACATACTGGGACGCGTCGCCGGGGATCAGGGAACTCTACGAGGAGATGGTGCCCAAGCTGCGCAGCCTGCTTCCAGCCGGGCGCTACGCGCTGTTCCTGAACTTCATGGAGTCGCCGAGGTTCGACGGAGCAGCTTGGCTGGCATCGAAGCTGAAGGAGGAGCCGGAGGTGTGGCAGGCGGTCGTCTATGACGCCCACGTGTATCACGCATATGGCGACGACGACAGGGAGGGGAACAACTGGACGAACGACATGGACTCGTGCAAGACTTGCTGCCGCGACCGGTGGGTTCTTTGGCCTGTCGTTCAGCGAGGGCTTCCGCTGGCCATTGGCGAGTTCTCGCTGAACACAGGCTTCGGCGCGGACGCGAGTTTCTATCCGTCCTTCATGGGGAACCAGCTCTCCCTTTGGGCGAGCGGCCTTCCCGGGCTCGTGGGATCGTTCTTCTGGAGCTCGGGGCGTAAGTTTCCTAACGTCTCCCTGGTGCCGAGCCATGCCAAGTGACATCAAACGTCCACTTTCCTTGGAGCCCTCCATCTGGCGGCTGGCCCGCCATGGGTTGGGAATCAGGGGTGCCCCCTAGCGTCAGATTTCCCCTTTCCGAGGAATTTCAAGATCCTTCCTGACCCGCGCGGGTACTACAGAGAGCTGTCGCTGGTGGACCTCATCGCGCCGCGAGGGCCGCTGCCTCCCGTGCAGCAGACGGACTTGTCGGCCGTGTGCCCACGGACCGACCTGTCCCTGTGCCCAGACTACGACAGAGCGACCGTTCGCTGGCAGGACGACTGCTTCTGGAAAAGTGGCGGGCGTGTCCAGGGCAGGGCCGCAGATGTCACACAGCCATGGCAGTCACGATGACCCTGTTAGGGCAGCCGCCTCCGCCGTCTCCTCCCGCTCCTTGCCATTCTCCTCATCTTCCCCCTCTTCCTCGTCCCTCCTCCCAGTGAGGATGATCCGGATGAGTGTAAGAATGACGCCCCCCCCCCCCGTTGCGTCCGACTCCGACCCCAGCTTCGATTCCAGCTCCTCCCTTCTCCCCCCTCTTCCCCTCCACCCCTCCTCCGTCTGCCCCTCCTCCCTCTCCGCGCCGTCTTGCTCAGCCTCCTCCCTCCCCTCTGCAATCCCATCTTCCCCCATCCTCCGACTTTTACGCCGCAGCGCCAGCGCCGCAGAGCGGTGCGGACCACGTCGGGCGAGACACCATCAGAGTGCGATGACGCTGAAGAGCAGGCCGAACGGTGCGGCACGAAGCACCACAGATGACCATCTTGGGCCACGCACTGTGCAGCCCTCCAGGCACGCACAGAGGCGATCTGGAGGCGGGGCCTCGTCCTTCCACAGACACCCTGACGACAGATGCATGAAAGTTGCAAGCCCTGCCAGGAACACCGGGGCCCAGAAGGCCAGCAGCAGAGCTCGGTCGACCGGGGCGTCGACCGGGCTGGCTACGGGCTGCGGGACTCCATCGCAGACAATTTGCGCGAGGGCGATCTTTGAGCGGAGGCTCAAGAAGCAAGAGAGATGCCCGAATACCACCGCGGTGTGCATTCGATCCACTGCCGACATTTGCACCTCCGATTCCGCCACTGGCTCTAGTCCTTCGATCTCCGCCATTGCACATGCGGGGCCTCGGCGGGAGCCTTCACGGTGTCTGCCATTCCACCTCCAGGTCCGCCTCCAGGATCTTTTGACCATTACACGCCGGCCGTTGGAAGTAGTTTTTGTTGTGGATGTCCAGGTTCCAATCTACTTCTAGCGCCTCCCTACTCCAAGACTCCGCATGATTTTGATGTGTGTTCGGTTTTCTTTGGGAGCGCCTGAAGCCAATCTATCTGATCCGCCTTCCTACTTTTACGCTTCTGCCTGCTTCTCGTAGCGGCGTGTACGGCACCGCCATCTTTGAGCACGACGTGCCCGAGCCTTCCGCTCCTGCCCTCGGGTGCCTTCCGTTCTGGGCCTGGTGGTGGCAGGAGTGCTGCGCCTCCTGGAGCGGGCAGGGCGATACAGAGATACTGCGGGTGGCAGCAGCACCACCAAGGCTCATTCTGATGTGGAGACTGCGCCATTTACAGGCCGCGAGTTCCAAGCTGGGCACGGTCGGCGGCGGCCGCTGAATCGAAACATACACATACATGCATATATATATATGTATGTAGAGATAGTTGTACACATACACAGGTGTGCAAATACTCATATATGTATATATATATGTATTCAACGCCAGCCGCGAGTGTATGTTTTCAGTTTGTGGTCATCGTTGCCTGGACCGCGCTCCATCTCTTTACTTGTTGGTTTCGCTTCACTTTCTTCCGATTGAAGTCGGACCGCTACGAAGACTGTAACGATGACTCAAATGTACCATGAATCTTCCTAGCGAGTTCTTTCTCTCAGCGATCCGGTCAGTCTCCTGACGAGGAACGGTGCTCTCCTAAGTCATCAATTGTCTTAAGATGAGTGCATCGTCGCGTCGTCCTGTTCAGTTCAAGGTGGTCCAGCTCTAGCCGCTGCAGCACATCTCAGTCCCGCGCAGTCTGGCTCAGCCCAGCTCAGGGCAGTCCAGGTTCAGTTCTGCTTCGACACGCCAAGTTTGATCCAGCGGCTGAGTCCGACATGGCCTGACGCTCTCGAAGCCCCCAATCCAATGTTGCCGGAAGGCCGTGGGCGGCAGCAAATAGCGCGAACATGGATCATAACGTTGGAAATTCGCCATTTCAGAGCCGCGAGTTCCAAGCCTGGCACGATCGGCGACTGCCGCTGAACATGTAAAACGTAACCGTGGACCGCAAGCGCATTTTTTCAGCCTGAGGTCGTCGTCGCCTTGACCGCACTCCATCTCTTTCATTTGCTGATTTCTGAGTTTATGCGTTGGTTTCTGGTTTATGTTGGCCACCCACGGTAGAACGCCCGCCGAGGAACCGCACAACCACATATGCCTCTGGAGGCCCCTTTGAGGATAGGATCTCGCCCGAGGGAGGGGCTCCGTCCAGACTGCGTGCGCTGCTCAGTGCTGGTCGGAAACGCCCCGCAAATGGCTGCGGAGTGCTCCAGAAGTCTTCGGAGGCATCCCATCAGTAGCAATGCGCGCCTCGACGGCGCATCGGCAGATGCACTATGGTCGGACCGAGGTATAAGATCGAGGTTGGTTCGGGGAGGGTGCCCTAGTGTTCTTCGTGTTTGTTGGATGTCCTTGTGCATCCTGGAGAGGGTACCCTTAGATGTTCTGTGTGTTTTGGCCAGCGGAGGGTCTCATGTTCTGGAGGGATGCTCTTCTGGCCCAGGTCCGACCGTACAAGGGCGAGTGCACACCTGCACGCCGCCGTGTAGGTCGCACAGGAGCTTGGCAGTGGATCCGGCACGGGTCCTCGCAGAACATGCGTAGGCTGGGCCCTTTGCCCACGCTGCAGCAAAGCCAGGCAGCAGTTGTCAAAGGCGTCAAACATAGTCCTTCGATCATCGGTTCTGCGTCCGGCTCCTTCTCCTTCCTCCCGTTGTGGACAGCAGGCGGCGCGATTGGGCGCTGGCTGTCAGCGGTTTCCTCATCCTCGTCGTCCCCCTCCGGGCTCCTCCAGAGACCTCGGGGAGGTCTTTACAGCTTGCCCGGTGTGCAGCCCCGCAGGCTGTCCGGAGATGCTGTCGGCGGCCGCCGTGCACTCCCCCTCGAGGGCGCCCTTGCGCCAGGAGGCTCCGCAGGCCTGCCTCTCTGAGTGGCCGGGCTCCGCTTCGGGTGTGGCTGGCTGGTGCTCGACCGTGGGCGCCGCGTGGGCGGCCACCCGTGCGGTGGCCGGCGTGCCCACGCCTCCTCGGAGGGTGTCCAGCCGCGGGTCCCGCGTGCGCCCCGGCGTCTCGGGCGCGTTGCACCACGCAGGGCTCGCACCCCTCGGCTCGAGACCACGGTGTTCTGCACCGTGCACAGCTTGCACCACTCAGCGAGCACCACTCAGCGAGCGCAGCGCCACATAATTGGCTTGCGCCGCGCAGTTTGCACCGCATATATATATATATATACATACATACTTTGCGCTGAGTAGCCGGCACCGACCATTTGGCACCACATAGCTTGCATCACATAGCTTGCACCTCACAGTTTGCAACGCATAGCTTGCACCACATAGCTTGCACCATGTGGTATGCACCACGTACCTTGCACCCAGGCCGTTTAAACCACGCAGAACTTACACAAGGCTTGCACCACTTATCTTGTACCACAGATGTAGCTCACACCATGTAGCTCACACCACGTAGCTTGCGCCACATGACCTGCACCACCTAGCTTACATCACATGGTGTGCACCACGTAGTTTTGTACCACGTGGCATACACATCCAGAGGGCAAGAAGTCATAGTTTGGGACCCACGCAGGCTATCTTTTTCAAACAGACTGAACTTTTCGGAGGGAGGAGGGAGGAGGAGGCCAGCTGTTCACAACCATCATGTGGTGTTGGCTCCTCGTCGTTTGAAGAGAGCGCCCCGCGTCACTCCTTCCTTCTCCCCCTCCTGCATCATCCCATTTCCTGCCTCTGCCCTTCGCATGTCCATTACGGCACACCCCTCACGCGTTCCTTGGCCCATGAGCTCCACCGAAGGCCGCAGTGGACGGGTTCGCATGCGGTTCCCCGCCCATGCCCGACAGCCCATCGCACGCTTCGTGACGCCATAGTGAGGTCCACCGAAGGCCTCAGTGGCAGGGTGCGCATGCGGTTCCCCGCCCATTCCGACACTCCTTTCACGCGCTTCGTGGCCCCATAGGGAATTATGCCGAACGCCTCAGCGGCAATTTGCGTACGCGATGCCCCGCCCGTTTCGGGGTACATTCCTCACGTCGTGGCTCCGTAGGGAGCTCCACCCAGGGCCCCAGTGGCAGGGTTCGTTCGCATGCGGTTCACCACCTATGTCGGCACACCCCTCAGACGCTTCGAGGCCCCATAGTGAGCTCCTCCGAAGGCCCCAGTGGCTGCGCTCGCATGCGGCTCCCCGTCCATTTCGGCTCACTCCTCACACGTTTCGTGGCCCCATGGGGAGCTCCACCGAAAGCTGAGCCACAACACGGCATTTTTTCATGCACATGGCTGGTTTTTAGGTCTTCGCCAGGACCGTTTTCTATTCCGAGTTTTTTTTATATACTTTGTTCGCGGGCTGGGCTGGAGAACTGGACGCGACAGCGCAGCAGTCGTTCCCGCATCTTTGTGTAATCGTTTTCTTTGTGCCCAGTGCTTGCGGCAGGTCCGCCTTCTATGCTGCCAGCGCGCGCCCACAGCGCCCTGCGGGGTCTTCAGCTCTACGATCTCCGAAGCATTCCATGATGCTGCCATACCGGTGCCTGAAATCTGGAGGCAGCGAATTGCCTGTGGGTGGGCCGACTGGCTTCCAAACCGCTGCTGCAGCACCCTCGGCCCCGGAGTGCGCGGATCCGTTGCGCACCCTGGCCCGAGCCTCGAGGTCACCCGCTGCCCACCCCCCCACCCGCCCGCCCGCCACGGCCCGCGGCGTGGCGGGGCGCCCGCCGGGGGCCCACGGGAGCCGGGGCGCGGCGATCGGGAGCGGCCCGCGCCCCTGTGGTTCGGCACGATCTCGCCTGCACGCAAGGGTGGCCCTTCGCCGGAGTGCCCTTCTGGTGCGGGCCCAACGCGATGCGATAGTAGCCTCTTGCGCGCTTGTGTTTGGTCCCCCCGCGGCCCCCAAATCACCGCGCACCGGGGGTCACTCTTATGCAGGGTCACTCTTGCGCGTAGCCGACGATCGACATGGGATACGGAAGGAATGGGTGCGAAGACCGACAGCAGTTCCTCAGAGGAGGGAGAGGTACCCATACCGTTGCCTTTCCCTCGTTTTTCTCTTTTTGGGCCTTCTGGGGGGCCCTCATCGCCACCGCTGGATTCGCCTCGAGATCCTGGTCAGAACGCTCCCCGGGAGAGGTCCGAGGAGTCCGCCGGGGAGTGGCGGTATCGGTACATGGTGGTTTCCCCAGTTCTTGCTCATGTTGAGCAGGGTTCGCTGTCGACGTCGCTTCAGACGTTGTCCTCTCCAGACAGGAAGCCACCTGGCCAACAGCGGCCGCTGCTGGTTTTGGACAGCACTCGCTGCTGGGCATCGCTCCTACAGTCGGGGCGCTGAAGAAGGAACCCTGTTCGTTTGGGAGGGACTCAGTGTTCCTTAGCTGTTTTGCAGTTTGCCTTCGGTTTTCCTTCGGTTTTCGATGGGCAATGGAAGCTCAACTTGTGGAGAAGAGGGGCCTCATTCCTTATTTGGGGTTCCTTAGGTCAACACCCCGACTGTATGTTGTCCGTACCCAGGTCGGGCGCCCCAGGGGGCGCTCCCGTGCTTTCCCGGCCCGCGGCCTCTCGTTCCTGGAGCCGGCGGGCGTGGGCATCCGCGGCGGCATGTCCGAGGACAGGGCGCATCGGGCCGTGCCCGCGGGGGGGGCACTCACGGCTGCGAACGTCGTCGCCAGCTCCTCCCGGGGTTTCGGCACTCGAGGATATCACATGCCGAGGGGGTTCGGGAGTGTTCTGGGAGGTGTTTGTCGTCCTCCTGTCGGCTGCGGGCGAGGGGGGGGGAAATGAGAAGGAGAAGGCCTTCTCAGGAGGCGGCGGGGCTTCTCAGAAGCCCTCGCGCCTTCTGCGAAGCTTTCGGTGTTTTCGGGGAAGAAGGCTTAGACAATTTCTCAGATGGCCTGGAGACTTCCAGCCTCCTGAGAAGGCCCGCCCCTTCTCACTTCCCCCCCGCGCTCGCCGCCAACATCGTCTTCGAACTCGTCGTCGCCGTCGTCGCCGTCGCCGTCGCCGTCGCCGTCGCCGTCGTCGTCGTCGTCGTCGCCGTCGCCGTCGTCGTCGTAGTCGTCGTCGTCGCTGTCGTCGTCGCCGTCGTTGTCCTCGTCGTCGCCGTCGCCGTCGTCGTCGTCGATTCTGGGGGTGTCACCGGCTCCTTCTTGGGGGGGAGCGGTGGTCTCGCGGCTGCAGGGGGGCCGCCGGCTCCTCCCAGGGATCGGGATTCGAGGAGCGGGGGGGCCGATGGGTTTTTTTGGGGAGATTTGGGGTCTGGCCCTCCTCGGCGAGGCGGGGAGGGTCGATCCTCGACGGGGCGGGGTCCTGTTGGGGGGGCCGGGCTCGGGTGGGGGTGGGGGTGGGGCGGGGGACGCATCGACCCACGATAGCCCCATTTATCGCCGAGGGGTGCCCGAGAGCCCCAGCCTGCCCAGGAGCGTGGGGTTCCGCCCCGGGGGGGGGGGGATCATCGCCGAGCTGTCGGCGATGCATCGCCGGTTCCAGGCTTTTTTCCCCCCCGTGGGCTGGCCCTCCCCTGTCGTTGCCGCTCCCTGGTGGTGGCCCCCCAGCGGCACTGCCTGGGGGAAGCAAGGAGCTGGACGCGGCCGCGGCTGGCACCGCCGCAGCTGGAGGTCCTCCGGGCGCGGCGTCAGGCGCCGCGGCGTGTCAACCAGTGACGGGGCCAGGGTGGGCTTTGACTCTTCAGTGCCAAGCGCAAGCGTCATAAGGAAGTTGAGGAAAGAGAGAGAGAGAGAGACAGCAAGAAATAGAGAGAGAGAGAGAGACATACATCAATACATAAAGAAAGGGAGAGGGAGAGAGGGAGAGGGCGGGGGGGAGAGAGGTAGAGAGAGGGCGAGGGAGGGGGGCAGAGAGAGGTAGAGGGAGAGAGAGGGAGAGGGAGAGGGAGAGGCAGAGAGAAATTAGCCTTGCGAAGGACGCAACCATATGAATTTGTGAGAAAGAAGTAACGTACGTGTGAATATTGACCTTCGTGGAGTTCCCTGTGCGGCCGCAAGGCGTGCGAGGGGTGCACCGACATGGGTGCGGCGGGCGCATGCGAGCCCAGCAATTTGGGCCTTCGGTGAAGCTCCCTATGGGGCCGCGAAGCGGGTGAGGGGTTTGCCGGAATGGGTGCGGCGGGAGCGTGCGAGCGCAGCCACTGGGCCTTCGCCGGAACTCCCTATGGAGCCACGGAGCGTGTGAGAATGTGCCGAAATTGGTGCGGCGGTGCCTTGCGAACCCTCCCGCTGCGGAGGTGGAGCTCCCCATGGGGCCACGAAACCGTGTGAGGGGTGTGCCGAAATGGATGCGGCAGACGCGTGCTAGCGCAACCACTGGAGCCTTCGGTTGAGCTCCCTATGGGGCCGCGAAACGTGTGAGGGGTTTGCCGGAATGGGCGCGGCGGCGCCATGCGAGCCTTACCACTGGGGCCTTGGGTGGAGCTCCCTATGGGGCCACGAAGCGCGTGAGGGGTGTGCCAAAGTGGTTGACTTGCACGGCGGGCAGAGGCAGGGATGGGATGGGGGAGGAGGAGAGGAGGAGGAGGAGGAGTGAGTGACGCGGGGCGCTGTCTCTTCAAAACGAGGACCCAAGACCACAGGATGGTTGGGAACTGCCTCCTGGCGAGGGACCCAGCCATATGCAGTTGTGAATACCGTCGTTGTGAGTATCGCCTTCGGTGGATCTCCGCATGGTGCCACAAAGCCTCCGAAGGGTGTGGCGAGATGTGGCGGGGCCGCCATGCGGGTGAGGAGTGTGCCGAAATGGGGCGGCGGCCCCATGCAAACCCTCCCACTTTGGCACTAGGTGGAGCTCCGTATGAGGCCACGAAGCGTGCGAGGGGTGTGGCGACATGGGGCGGCGGTGCCATGGTAACCCTCCCACTGGAACCTTAGGTGGAGTCCCTATGGGGCCGCAAAACGTGTGAGGGGTATGCCGACATGTGGAGCTCCGTATGGGGCCACGAAACGTGTGAAGGGTGTGGCGACATGGACGGGGAACCGCATGCGCACCCTGCCACTGGGGCCTTAGGTGGAGCTCCCCATGGGGCCACGAAGCGTATGAAGGGTGTGCCGGCATTGGGCGGCAATGCCATGCGAAGTTTCCGCTGGGGCCTCAGGTCGAGCTCTCTTTGGTGGCATGAAACGTGTGACGGGTGTGCCAACATGGTTGACGTTTGCTCAAGACGGAGGCAAGGAAAGGGAGGAGGGAGGAGAAGGAGGAAGAGGAGGAGGAGGAGCGAGATGCAAGAGGAGGAGGAGGAGGAGGAGGAGGAGGAGGAGGAGAAAGAGCTGGAGGAGGAGAGGAAGAGGAGGAGGAGGAGGAGGAGGAGGACGAGGAGGAGGAGAAGGAGGAGGAAAAAGAGGAGGAGGAGGAGAAGGAGGAGGAGGAGGAGGAGGAAACGAGAGGGACGGGTGGCGCTGTCTTTCCAGAACGAGGAGTCAGCACCACATAATAGTTACGACGGGGAGGGGCCGACATTCGGGTGAGAGGCGTGCCGAAATGGTTGCGGCGGCGCCGTGCGAACCTTCCCATTTGGGCCTCAGGTGGAGCTCCCCATGGGGCCACGAAGCGTGCGAGGGGTGTGGCGAAAAGGGGCGGCGGTGCCATGCGAGCCCTCCCACTGGGGCCTCAGGTAGAGCTCCGTATTGGGCCACGAAGCGTTTCAGGGGTGTGCCGGCATGGGGCGGCGGTGCCTTGCGAACCCTCTCACTGGGGCCTCAGGTGGAGCTCTGGATTGGGCCACGAATCGTTTCAGGGATGTGACGACATGGGGCGGCGGTGCCTTGCGAACCCTCCCACTGGGGCCTTAGGTGCAGCTCGTTATGAGGCCAGGAAGCGTGCGAGTGGTGTGCCCGATGGGGCCACGAAACTCATGAAGGGTGTACCGAAATGGGGCGGAGGTGCCATGCGAACCCTCCCACTGGGGCCTTAGGTGTAGCTCCCTATGGAGCCACAAAGCGTGCAAGGGTTGTGCCGAAACGGTGCGGCGGTGTCTTGCGAACCCTCCCGCTAGGGCCTTACGTGGATCTCCCCTTGGGGCCACGAAACCGTGTGAGGGGTGTGCCGGGATGGGGCAGCAGTGCCATACGAACCTTCCCACTCGGGCCTCAGGTGGAGCTCCAGATGGGGCCACGAAGTGCGTTTCAGGGATGTGCCGAAATGGGGCGGCGGTGCCATGCGAACCTCCCCGCTTGGGCCTTAGGTGGAGCTATCTATTGGGACACGACTCGTGTGACTCGTGTGCCAACATGTTTGACGTGTGCGGAGGGCGGAGGCAAGGAAGGGGAGGAGGGAGGAAGGAGGAGGGAGGAGGGAGGAGGGAGGAGGGAGGATGGAGGGTGGATGGAGGATGGAGGAGGATGAAGAGGAGGAGGAGGAGGAGGAGGCGGAGGAGGAGGAGGAGGAGGAAGACGAGGAGATGAGAGGAATGGGTGGCGCCGTCTTTTCAAAACGAGGGCCCAGCACCACAGGATGGTTGGGATGGGACGGGGCCGCCATGCGCGTGAGGGGCGGGGCCGCCATGCGTCGGGCGCGTGCCAGCGCAACCACTGGAGCCTTCGGTTGAGCTCCCTATGGGGCCGCGAAGCGGGTGAGAGGTTTGCCGAAATGGGGCGGCGGCGCCGTGCGAATCTTCCCATTGGGGCCTTGGGTGGAGTTCCCCATGGGGCCATGAAACGTGCGAGGGTGTGGCGACATGGGGCGGCGGTGCCATGCGAACCCTCTCACTGGGGCCTCAGGTGGAGCTCCCGATTGTGTCACGAAGCGTGTGAGGGGTTGCCGAAATGGGGGTGCCATGCGAACCCTTCCATGGGGGCCTCGGGTGGAGCTCCTAGTGGGGCCACGAAACGTGTGAAGGGTGTGGCGAAATGGGCGTGGAACCGCACGTTCACCCTGCAATTGAGGCCTTAGGTGGAGCTCCCGATGGGGCCACGAAACGTGTGAGGGGTGTGCCGAAATTGGGCGACGGTGCCATGCGAACCCTCCCACTGGGGCCTTAGGTGAAGTTCCCGATGGGCCACGAAGCGTGTGAGGGGTGTGCTGAACTGGGGCGGCGGTGCCACCCGAATCCTCGCATTGGGGTTTCAGGTGGAGGTCCGTATGGGGCCACGAAGCGTGAGAGGAAGGGGCGACATGGGGCGGCGGTGCCATGCGAACCCTACCACTCGTGCCTGCGGTGCCATGCGAACTCCCTACGGGGCCACGAAGTGCGTGAGGGGTGTGCCGGGATGGGGCGGCGGTGCCATGCGAACCTTGCCTCTGCTGCCTCAGGTGGAGCTCCCCACGGGGCCACGGAGCGTGCAAGGGGTGCGCCGACATGGTTGACTTTGTGCGGAGGGCGGAGGCAAGGATGGGGAGGAGGGCGGAGGGGGAGGAGGAGGAGGAGGAGGAGAGGCGAGGGACGGTGTAGGGCAAAAGAGAGATATATGGAATGGAGGAGAGAGAGGAACAACAAAGGAGATCGCAACATTTCAGACGAGGGTTTGTCCAGGCCCCGAGGCTACAAGCGCCCTGCAACCCTTCCTCGCCAAGCGGGAGGCGCCGCGCTCGGAGCATGGGTGGTAGAGTCTCCTCCCCCTTAGCGCGGTCCGTTCGGACCCCGACTGGAAAACATAGCGGGCGTGTGGTAATCAGGCCACTCAGGGGCCCGTTTGCGCACCCATGGCAGAAGCGCTACCTTTACACGCGCGCTAGCATGCGCGACGCGGAATTCTTACACGTAACTGGCTACACCTTGGGCCATCCCCCTCAGCGGCCGTGTGCATTAGAGCTATTGGTAGAGCACTGGCAGTGCATTAAACGTTGCCCACATCTCACGCAGCGCACTCAGATATTGAGGGTAGCTCTGGTGTGCTGTCGATGAGCATCTAGACGCGCCTGGTCGCTCGCCTAGGGAGACGCCCCAAGCGAGCGGGTGAGCGGGCCTGATGAAGGGCGATCCAGGCTGTCTGTGCGTTCTGGGACCTGTCAAACCGGGGTCCCAACCGTGCCTGGGCGCTACGCAGCTTGAGGCCAAGTCTGGTAGCACGTTGGTGAATCGTCGTGATGACGGTGTGCGGGCAGCCTCACAGTCGGGGTCGGCTGATTGACCGACGGCAGTGTGGCGTCGCGAGGCACGCCTCCGTTCGGTGGTCGGCCCTGAGGTCAGCGGGGTGCCTTTTACCCTGGTAATTCGATGATGTTGCGGCCTTGAGACCGTGGTACCTTGCGTAGCGCGTGGCGCCAAGGGCTTGTGTGTTCCGTCGTGGGTGTGAGGCTGCTGGTGCCCACGTGCGCGAGCCCTGGCCGACCATGGACCTAGTAGCACTTGGGGCAGTTCTCGAGGCAGTACTCGTCCCACTCATGGTGGTCAGGGTAAAACTGATGCTCTTCCTGGTGGACAGCGACGTGGTGGTCGAGACAGTAGTCGTTCCACCTCTGGGTTCCGAGGTCGAGCTGATGCTCCCGACGCGATGCCCAATGTCGAGATGCCAGTGCCCGTGATTCAGCTCAGCGACGTGGTACTCGAGGCAGTGCCCGTGCCGCTGGTGCACGTCAGGGTCGAGCTGGTGCTTCCGGCCGCGGCGTTGCTTGCACCCGCCGTGGTGGTCAGCGACTTGGTACTTGAGACAGTACTCGTCCCACTCGTGGTCGTGGATATGAGGCTGCT